GCAGTAAATAGGTACCTGGGTGTTAGTCAGCTGTCACGGGCTGCTTCCTGGGGGTGGAGGCCTGGTCAAGGACCGGGCCGCGGGGACACTAAAGCCCCGAAATCATCTCAAGATAACCTCAAGATAACCAGGTGTTTTTGCTATCCTTTTGAGAAGGGATTCTAGCAGCACAAGCATTACTTGGGTTATAACAGGATACCTGTGGCCAGATTCACGAAGCAGTTACGCAAGCACTTACGAACGTGTACATCTTTTCTCAATCTTTGGCGGCTTTGTTTAGAATAATTAAACAGTTAATGAGCTCCGAAGCACCAGGAGGCTGTTTATAACAATAACAACGGTTGATTGGCAAGTTTTCATGCTTGTAAACTGTTCAATAAATGTAACCAAAGCCGTCAAAGAGTGAGGAAAGATGTACATGTTCGTTAGTGCTTGCGTAACTGCTTCGTGAATCTAGCCCCTGATCAACCAGACTGCGATTCGTACGTCAGGCTGCGAGCAGTCGCGTCCAATAGCCTGGTAGACCCGACCACCAACCAGGAGGCCTAGAGACCGGGCCGCAGGAACGTTGATCCTAGGAACCTTGGTACGGTAACCATAAGGTAGCCTCAGTCGCCGGGGGCCTGACGGTTGAGTGGACAGCGCTCAGGATTCGTAGTCCTAAGGTTCCGGGTTCGATCCCCGGCGGAGGTGGAAACAAATGGGCAGAGTTTCTTTCACCCAGATCATCCTGTTCACCTAGCAGTAAATATGTACCTGGGAGTACCTATTTACAGCTGCTACAGGCTACTTCCTGGGGATGTGTAATAAAAAGAAGGCCTGGTCGAGAACCGGGCCCCGAAATCATCTCAAGATAACCTCAAGATGGAAGATAGCCTAAAAACAAGGGAGAAATTAAGTATAGGAAGTAGCATTGCCAGTTGTAGGAGCAAAAAGTAACAAGAAAAAATGTGTCTTATAAGTTTGTGAATCATGAATATGTACAGTTGTAAACGCTACCATCGTCTTATTCAAGGTTTGTTTACATCTGCACTGCTCAGGTGTTCGGGCAGCATCGGCCCCGACTTTATCTGTGCTTCTGAAAATTATATAATACATGTCCTTCTGTGAATGGGCTTCAAAAACGAATGTCAAAGGATAGGATATGTGTAATGGTGGTATCTGGAGATTTATTTGATTTTGTGTAATGACACAAAACTGTGTAGTGAAGTCAGGATCTGGTGCAGGGATTCCGAGGATTTTCCCGCGCGCGCCAGCTGTCAAGGCAGCAACTCGACCTTCTAATTATACGGTAGACAGCAGGAACACTGTGATTGGGATGGTCGGGTTGTTGTGGGTGCCGAGGCTGCCTATCTTCCTGGTGATGTATGCCTTACCTTACTGGCTCTTTGGCACTCTCAGGAAGGGTGCCACAACACCTGTTGTTGTTTCTGGATGTACTCACCTCTGTACATGTGCACTCACCTGTGTGTGTGTGTACACACCTGAATGTATGTGTATATGTTTCAGTGTGAAGGTCTCTTGGTGATCACATTCTCTCAGGTGGCAACATAAACTATATTATTACTGTCCTGGGGCGGAACAGGGCAATGTTTACCTCAAAAACAGCTGTGCTGATGAGAGAGTTCCCGCCAAAATATGCGCTGGGGCGAAGAATTTGTCACGTGTGTTGTTTAGTCTTTTTCTATTCCAGTGGCAGAGAACGGTGTAGCCCGACAGTAGTCTTGTGAGTCTTTCCTGTCTCTGATGCAACCTGTCCTCGGGTTAGGGGCGTCTAAGGGGCGTTCCAACGACACAGTCGTATATTTTAACGTATTGTGTATTCAGAATCGGTTTTTGTTTTCAGATGATTAATATTACGATATATTAGAATTCTGATTATAGGTTGGCGTAGGTTAGGGTGGGTGATTAGGTCCCGTTGGCAATTGCTTATATTTTCAGGCATCCCGTCCTCGACTCAAACCCATTCCATCCAGCGGTCGACCCCAAAGACGCATTCATCAATTTTAACATTTTGTTAATTCAAAACAACTTTTCTCAAATATAAATTAATATTACAAGATATCAGCATATTGTGCATATATAGGTTAGGTTAGGTTAGGTTAGGTTAGGTTAGGTTAGGTTAGGTTAGGTGTTTAGGTTCTGTTGGCGATTATTTGTATTTGTAATACGTGGGTGAAGCATTTACAGCGTTGTGATTCGAACAAAATTCGTCAGTGAAGCACTTGTTCCGGAAGTGTTCGAACGTCAGCAGTTGTGAGTCGTGTGTAAACCGTTTGTCATCAACCGTTTGGGGGGAGGGGGAGGGGGGGGTGACGCACACTTCAAGGTTACCTGCGCATCGCGTAACTGTTTTTTTGCGTCAATGTTTTTATTTGGCCATAATTCCGAACACTGTTTTATCAAGGATCAAGAAGGTTGTTAGTGCCGGCATCCGTCTCCTGGCTCCGAGGGCTCTTCATAAAGGTCTGGTTTATTCTCTAATGCCCACGAGTTATCTGTTACCCGTTGTTTACCTGTAGATGATTTCCAGAGTTGTTCTTCTCTCGCTGCTTATGATGCTTGTAGTATGTGACCTATTAGTACTTATTAAGGAATTATATAGTATATTTTTGTACTATTAGCTTTAAATACAAGTTAAAAAGTTAAAAAGCAAACTTAAATATTCCTAGGCCTAGTATAGCACACATATGTACTATATTAGGCCTCAGTAAGCATGAATTAGGCCTAGGAAGGTTAGGTTAGGGTACTTTAGTTTGTCTTTGCAACTTGTCGTAAATATAAATTATTCAGATTTGTTCAAATTCAATAGTATCGATTTCTACTCTCTAATTGTGTTGTATGTCGGTATATGTACTATGGTGGTCATCGTTACTATAAGTACTGCCAGAACCGGAGGCTGGGGTATATACATGGTACTGGGGGTGGGACCCCTCCCCACACACATGGTACTGGGGGTGGGACCCCTCCCCACACACATGGTACTGGGGTTGGGACCCCTCCCCACACACATGGTACTGGGGGTGGGACCCCTCCCCACACACTTGGTACTGGGGGTGGGACCCCTCCCCACACACATGGTACTGGGGGTGGGACCCCTCCCCACACACATGGTACTGGGGGTGTGGGACCCCCCCCCCACACTTGGTACTGGGAAGGGGTTAGAGTGAAGGTCGCACATGGGGCCTTAAGGACGCCCCCTGGAGATGACCTCTCTCACTGTCTTAAGTTCTCGCACTAAGATACTTCTCAAGATATATATGTATATATCAATTATATACCACAATAAACATGGAAATAACATTTCATTCACTTACACCATGGGAGCCTCGAACCCACGACCACCGGAGTGGAGGACGGACGCTCTACCGACCTGACTAGGAGGGGCCCACAATAGGAGAGGGTCCCATGCAGGGACACATCTGGTGTCCGGGTTATTTACTAGTTTATTGTGGTTTGCAATTTGTATGACTGGCAGGTGGATCACCTGATACTACCAGCCTGGAGTCACGCCCCAGGAGAGGCTGGTAGTCCCAGTTGGACACCAGATGTGTCCTTGGGACCCTCGGGACCCTCTCCTATTGTGGCCACTCATAGTCACGTCGGTAGAGCTCCTGTCTTCCACTCTGGTGGTCGTGGGTTCGAGGCTCCGATGGTGCAAGTGAATATGTATATAACAGCTGGTGTGTTACTACACATGTGTATCCACCCTGGCTGACACCTGCATGTACCTCGGTGCTGGTCAAGCAGGTGGGGCGGCCAACCACAGGGAGACAGCAAAATCAATCAAGTACAGGTGACTGGAAGGTCAATACACCTTTGTTCCCATAGCGTCTGAGACTAATGGCAAAGTCTCAGACGGCCCCTGGGGGTAGAAGTGCCTTGGGATTTCTTAAATAATTAGGTTCCAGGCTTATTGACATCACCAGAGAGCTGCCAGTTTCCTGTTTCAGCGCCTCAGTGTGGCGATCCAGAGAGGTAATTCCTGCTACATCCTCGTTCGGAAGTAGAAGAGCTCCAAGAGATACATAACTTTTAAGCACACATTGTGTTCACCAATGTTCAACTTGTTACATTTAAATATCTAAACAAGCAAAGCAAAACACAAAAGGTGGGGGGGGGGGGGGGGGGGGTAAGGCAAAACAACATGGAAACTACATTGGAGGGACCAAAAAAAAATTCCCTCTAATGCTTTCTGTGCTTCCCTCTGAGGCTAGAGGGCCCCTTCTACCAGCCAGAGGTGGTACCCCACACATATATATATAGGGTGTATATATGTATATATTTAAACATGTTTCACTCAGTATGACTGCATATTCCGTGTTGATTATTCTCTCGTTCAGGGCTTCTATCCCTGTGACTAATGCTGTTGTTCAGGGCTTCTATGCATCTGGGTTAGGAAGAACATTTCTGTGAACGTCGCGTTTGTTCAAGGGTGACGAATACATGAACAAAAACTAACTGTATAATGTATTATGCAAATGATAATTTACTCAACGTTCCTAACATATAAGGTTCATTCTCAAGTGATTAATGACAAGTTATGAGGAAACATCTGATTATGTACAACTGGGAAGTCTTGATATTACAGTGTGTGTGTGTGTGTGTGTGTGTGTGTGTGTGTGTGTGTGTGTGTGTGTGTGTGTGTGTGTGTGTGTGTGTGCGTGTGTGCGTGTGCGTGTGTGTGTGTGTAAAAAGACTTTTTCTGAGTCTTTTTTGCTGACTATCTCTCATTTTCTGTCTCGCTTATAAAAAAGATATAATAGTTTACCACTGGGATGTGGGTGATATGAAATATTAAAAAAAACATAACAATTGCCCATTTTCTTTGATAAAGGCGGGGGGAGGGGGGTCTTGAGAAAGCCTTTGGAGGCGTGAGGCGACCGTCTGTTTTATGCGACTATAGCCAAAGTATGAATAACAGAAAGTTTATAACTGTTCCCCGAGATCACTGAATAATGGTGTATATTACTGTAAGATTTGTTTTTCAAAATATTTATCTACTTGTAGCCGGCGAACATTGTCACCACCATGGTGGAGGTAGCATGCCCGCGCCCTGGTGGAGGTAGCATGCCCGCGCCCTGGTGGAGGTAGCATGCCCGCGCCCTGGTGGAGGTAGCATGCCCGCGCCCTGGTGGAGGTAGCATGCCCGCGCCCTGGTGGAGGTAGCATGCCTGCGCCCTGGTGGAGGTAGCATGCCCGCGCCCTGGTGGAGGTAGCATGTCCGCGCCCTGGTGGAGGTAGCATGCCCACGCCCTGGTGGAGGTAGCATGCCCGCGCCCTGGTGGAGGTAGCATGCCTGCGCCCTGGTGGAGGTAGCATGCCCGCGCCCTGGTGGAGGTAGCATGTCCGCGCCCTGGTGGAGGTAGCATGCCCGCGCCCTGGTGGAGGTAGCATGCCCGCGCCCTGGTGGAGGTAGCATGCCCGCGCCCTGGTGGAGGTAGCATGCCCGCGCCCTGGTGGAGGTAGCATGCCCGCGCCCTGGTGGAGGTAGCATGCCCGCGCCCTGGTGGAGGTAGCATGCCCGCGCCCTGGTGGAGGTAGCATGCCCGCGCCCTGGTGGAGGTAGCATGCCCGCGCCCTGGTGGAGGTAGCATCCCCGCGCCCTGGTGGAGGTAGCATCCCCGCGCCCTGGTGGAGGTAGCATGCCCGCGCCCTGGTGGAGGTAGCATGGCCGCGCCCTGGTGGAGGTAGCATGCCCGCGCCCTGGTGGAGGTAGCATGGCCGCGCCCTGGTGGAGGTAGCATGCCCGCGCCCTGGTGGAGGTAGCATGCCCGCGCCCTGGTGGAGGTAGCATGCCCGCGCCCTGGTGGAGGTAGCATGCCCGCGCCCTGGTGGAGGTAGCATGGCCGCGCCCTGGTGGAGGTAGCATGCCCGCGCCCTGGTGGAGGTAGCATGCCCGCGCCCTGGTGGAAGTAGCATGCCCGCGCCCTGGTGGAGGTAGCATGCCCGCGCCCTGGTGGAGGTAGCATGCCCGCGCCCTGGTGGAAGTAGCATGCCCGCGCCCTGGTGGAGGTAGCATGCCCGCGCCCTGGTGGAGGTAGCATGCCCGCGCCCTGGTGGAAGTAGCATGCCCGCGCCCTGGTGGAGGTAGCATGCCCGCGCCCTGGTGGAGGTAGCATGCCCGCGCCCTGGTGGAGGTAGCATGCCCGCGCCCTGGTGGAGGTAGCATGCCCGCGCCCTGGTGGAGGTAGCATGGCCGCGCCCTGGTGGAGGTAGCATGGCCGCGCCCTGGTGGAGGTAGCATGGCCGCGCCCTGGTGGAGGTAGCATGGCCGCGCCCTGGTGGAGGTAGCATGCCCGCGCCCTGGTGGAGGTAGCATGCCCGCGCCCTGGTGGAGGTAGCATGCCCGCGCCCTGGTGGAGGTAGCATGGCCGCGCCCTGGTGGAGGTAGCATGGCCGCGCCCTGGTGGCTGGTGCGGGCAGGCCAGGGCGGGAGACAAGAAGGGGAATATAAAGTTAAGTGTACACCAGCCGGGTTCTGTGTGGCGTCATGCAACCCTCCGCCTCCTGCACACTCATCCTCCCCTGCTCCTGTTGACAGAGTGGCTTCACTCTCTTGTTTCACCCTCACTCTACTGGTCCAGGGCAGGGATTCCGTGGGAAGCTTGCTCCTAGCGTCGTCAGGCTAGGTCAGGGAGGCTCCTAGCGTCGTCAGGCTAGGTCAGGGAGGCTCCTAGCGTCGTCAGGCTAGGTCAGGGAGACTCCTAGCGTCGTCAGGCTAGGTCAGGGAGGCTCCTAGCGTCGTCAGGCTAGGTCAGGGAGGCTCCTAGCGTCGTCAGGCTAGGTCAGGGAGGGTCCTAGCGTCGTCAGGCTAGGTCAGGAAGGCTCCTAGCTTCCTTAGGCTAGAACAAGGAGCCGTTTTTCCTACCTTAGCTCATCTGAAGCTTGACCTTAGAGACTCAGTTACTGTTTCAAATAATAATCTCACGAAATAGATATCATATAATGAACTGGTACTTAGTGAAACTACAAGCTAGAGCTGCTATCCTCCCTCAGCTGATCTGAAGCTTGTCACTAGATGTAATTACTCTTTATGTAACTCCGAGTGACAACCAGGCTGTGGTGGGTATGTGGGCCTGCGGGCCGCTCCAAGCAACAGCCTGGTGGACCAAACTCTCACAAGTCAAGTCTGGCCTCGGGCCGGGCTTGGGGAGTAGAAGAACTCCCAGAACCTCATCAACCAGGTATATAAGGAAGAGGACGAGCCTGTAGCCAACTGTGTGTCAGAGCCTTCATGTGATCAGTTGACCTGATCTTCCGTGTGTCAACCTCTTGAGTGAACAAGTTCCAGATGCGAGTCAGCCTCGGAGTGAATGATCGCTGATGGAGTGATGTGTTCTTGAGAAAGCCAGTTCCAGCGTAAAACTGTTGAAAGGTTAAGAACCTTGTGTTACGGGGACCAACTACTTGTTGTCCACGGAGTTGGGCCAGGTGCAGAACTTTGAGAATGTTGGCCATGTACATAACAGTGAGACCACCAACGGCCCGACGGTGTTGCCGGCTCTGATGTTGAGACCGTTCCCACCAGACTTGGTCCAGACCTGAGACCAAGTGGGTGTATAACCTTACCGGTGCCCTTGGTCCTGGTGCCTCATGGTGGACACAAGGGGTGGTGGACTGTCCCTTCTCTTCTACACCCCCCCCCTCCCCTCTCTCTCTCTCACTCTCTCTCTCTAATGAATATTCCCCCATTCCTCCTCGCCTGTTCCTCCCCCTCCAGCCATCTTCACCCTCTACCCTCTAGCCGCACATTCCCTTTCCTTTCATTCACCCTGTCCTTTCCCCCTTCTCCTTACCTCTAAGCAATCCATTTCCCCTCTTTGGTCTCTCTCCCCTCCTGGAGTTTCCCGTTTTCCAAAGTTATCACCCTCCCCCCCCCCACCTTGGGGAGTCTCTCCCCAACACACGGGGGAGGGAGAGGGACACGGGGGAGGGGGGGGGGGGCAATGGTCACCTCAGCTGAGGTTTCCATTTCAAGGAAACCGTGAAATGGTTTCGGGGCTTTGCGTCCCCGCGGCCCGGTCCTCGACCAGGCCTCCTGGTTGCTGGACTGATCAACCAGGCTGTTGGACGCGGCTACTCGCAGCCTGAAGTATGAGTCACAGCCTGGTTGGTCAGGTATCCTTTGGAGGTGTTTATCCAGTTCTCTCTTGAACACTGTGAAGGGTCGGCCAGTTATGTCCCTTATGTGTAGTAGAAGCGTGTTGAACAGTCTCGGGCCTCTGATGTTGATAGTTCTCTCTCAGAGTACCTGTTGCACCTCTGCTCTTCAACGGGGGTATTCTGCACATCCTGCCATGCCTTGTTTCACCGCCACTCTACTGGTTCAGGGAGGATTCTGTGGGATGCTTGCTCCCAGGGTCGTCAGGCTAGGTCAGTGAGGCTCCCAGGGTCGTCAGGTTAGGTCAGGGAGGCTCCCAGGGTCGTCAGGTTAGGTCAGGGAGGCTCCCAGGGTCGTCAGGCTAGGTCAGGGAGGCTCCCAGGGTCGTCAGGCTAGGTCAGGGAGGCTCCCAGGGTCGTCAGGCTAGGTCAGGGAGGCTCCCAGGGTCGTCAGGCTAGGTCAGGGAGGCTCCCAGGGTCGTCAGGCTAGGTCAGGGAGGCTCCCAGGGTCGTCAGGCTAGGTCAGGGAGGCTCCCAGGGTCGTCAGGCTAGGTCAGGGAGGCTCCCAGGGTCGTCAGGCTAGGTCAGGGAGGCTCCCAGGGTCGTCAGGCTAGGTCAGGGAGGCTCCCAGGGTCGTCAGGCTAGGTCAGGGAGGCTCCCAGGGTCGTCAGGCTAGGTCAGGGAGGCTCCCAGGGTCGTCAGGCTAGGTCAGGGAGGCTCCCAGGGTCGTCAGGCTAGGTCAGGGAGGCTCCCAGGGTCGTCAGGCTAGGTCAGGGAGGCTCCCAGGGTCGTCAGGCTAGGTCAGGGAGGCTCCCAGGGTCGTCAGGCTAGGTCAGGGAGGCTCCCAGGGTCGTCAGGCTAGGTCAGGGAGGCTCCCAGGGTCGTCAGGCTAGGTCAGGGAGGCTCCCAGGGTCGTCAGGCTAGGTCAGGGAGGCTCCCAGGGTCGTCAGGCTAGGTCAGGGAGGCTCCCAGGGTCGTCAGGCTAGGTCAGGGAGGCTCCCAGGGTCGTCAGGCTAGGTCAGGGAGGCTCCCAGGGTCGTCAGGCTAGGTCAGGGAGGCTCCCAGGGTCGTCAGGCTAGGTCAGGGAGGCTCCCAGGGTCGTCAGGCTAGGTCAGGGAGGCTCCCAGGGTCGTCAGGCTAGGTCAGGGAGGCTCCCAGGGTCGTCAGGCTAGGTCAGGGAGGCTCCCAGGGTCGTCAGGCTTGGTCAGGGAGGCTCCCAGGGTCGTCAGGCTAGGTCAGGGAGGCTCCCAGGGTCGTCAGGCTAGGTCAGTGAGGCTCCCAGGGTCGTCAGGCTAGGTCAGGGAGGCTCCCAGGGTCGTCAGGCTAGGTCAGGGAGGCTCCCAGGGTCGTCAGGCTAGGTCAGGGAGGCTCCCAGGGTCGTCAGGCTAGGTCAGTGAGGCTCCCAGGGTCGTCAGGCTAGGTCAGTGAGGCTCCCAGGGTCGTCAGGCTAGGTCAGTGAGGCTCCTGTAGAGTCTCTCTTATTATTTGTGTTTCTCTTGCTGGTTCACGCCTCCTTGGTCCCTCCCAGACCATCAACCAGGAGGCCCGGTCTCTGACCAAGCCTCCTGGTTGATGGTCTGGTCAACCAGGCTATTGGACGCGGCTGCTCGCAGACTGACTTGTGATTCACAGCTTCCCTTGATTCTTCTGTTGCTGCTTTTGTCTACTCTTTGTCTGCTTTTGTCTACTCTTTGTCTGTTTTTGTCTACTCTTTGCTTTTGTCTACTCTTTGTCTGCTTTTGTCTACTCAGTCTGCTTTTGTCTACTCAGTCTGCTTTTGTCTACTCTTTGTCTGCTTTTGTCTACTCTTTGTCTGCTTTTGTCTACTCTTTGTCTGCTTTTGTCTACTCTTTGTCTGCTTTTGTCTACTCAGTCTGCTTTTGTCTGCTTTTGTCTACTCAGTCTGCTTTTGTCTACTCTTTGTCTGCTTTTGTCTACTCAGTCTGCTTTTGTCTACTCTTTGTCTGCTTTTGTCTAGCTGTTGTGTTTTCATAGTGTTGTGTGGTGCTGCTGCAGGTCAGCGTGCAGCGTGAAGGCTTCATGCAATGCTTCTGCACATTGTACATTTCTTCACTTGCTGCCATTTGTGTAGTGTGGTGCAGCTTAGGCTGATCCTTGGCTTTCGTTGCTTGGTTATTCTCATGTAGGTGTGTGTGGGTACGTGGGTGTGTGTGGGTACGTGGGTGTGTGTGGGTACGTGGGTGTGTGTGGGTACGTGGGTGTGTGTGGGTACGTGGGTGTGTGTGTGGGTACGTGGGTGTGTGTGGGTACGTGGGTGTGTGTGGGTACGTGGGTGTGTGTGGGTACGTGGGTGTGTGTGGGTACGTGGGTGTGTGTGGGTACGTGGGTGTGTGTGGGTACGTGGGTGTGTGTGGGTACGTGGGTGTGTGTGGGTACGTGGGTGTGTGTGGGTACGTGGGTGTGTGTGGGTACGTGGGTGTGTGTGTGGGTACGTGGGTGTGTGTGTGGGTACGTGGGTGTGTGTGGGTACGTGGGTGTGTGTGGGTACGTGGGTGTGTGTGGGTACGTGGGTGTGGGTGTGTGTGGGTACGTGGGTGTGTGTGGGTACGTGGGTGTGTGTGGGTGTATAGGTACCTGGGTATGTGTGGGTTTATGGGTACGTGGGTGTGTGTGGGTGTGTGGGTAAGTGGGTGTGTACTCACCTATTTGTGCTTGCGGGGGTTGAGCTCTGGCTCTTTGGTCCCGCCTCTCAACTGTCAATTAACTGGTGTACAGATTCCTGAACCTACTGGGCTCTATCATATCTACATTTGAAACTGTGTATGGAGTCAGCCTCCACCACATCACTGCCTAATGCATTCCATCCGTTAACTTCTCTGACACTGAAAAAGTTCCTTCTAACGTCTCTGTGGCTCATATGGGTACTCAGTTTCCACCTGTGTCCCCTTGTTTGCGTCCCACCAGTGTTGAATAGTTTGTCCTTGTTTACCCGGTCGATTTCCCTGAGGATTTTGTAGGTTGTGCTCATGTCTCCCCTTACTCTTCTGTCTTCCAGTGTCGTAAGGTGCATTTCCCGCAGCCTTTCCTCGTAACTCATGCCTCTTAGTTCTGGGACTAGTCTAGTGGCATACCTTTGGACTTTTTCCAGCTTCGTCTTGTGCTTGACAAGGTACGGGCTCCATGCTGGGGCCGCATACTCCAGGATTGGTCTTACATATGTGGTGCACAAGATTCTGAATGATTCCTTACACAGGTTCCTGAATGCTGTTTAGATGTTAGCCAG